GAGTTTGCTTATGTTGATATGCTGGCCAAGGCCTGATAGACTGCCAGGCATGAGCAGGTGGGATGGATGATTTCTGAACAAGTCCAAGGAGGTCCACATGGTTGGCTTGTCACTCTCTGATCTGTTGTTTTTGGTTTTGGTTGTTGAATTTTCTTTTCCACTTTTAATTACAAACACAAAAATTGGCTTCCACAAATCAGTGAACTTTCTTTTAAAATTGTATAATGTTCACAAACATGCAAATGAATAGTTTTACTTACATCAATTCATATGAACACAGAAATGGTTTTTCTAGTTTCCTTTCTCATTATTTATTTACTCTTCTATTTATGATAATTTGTGTTATATTCAGAAAATGGATCAGTAAAAACATGAAATCAAAACATAAGTTTGAAACAGGGAAAATATGTTAATGTTATGGAAATTAAGAGCAATCTATAAATAGCAGCAGCTGTGATGTTCCTGAGACAACCTAAGGTGCCTGTGACAACACAGTAGGTGATTACCCTAATCCTCCCACAGCCAGTAACTTGAGAAGCAACATCTTAAAAAATAAATAAATAAATAAGAAACTTTTCAAATATACAGATTTGATTAATTAAAGCAGACGTTTATTGCCAAAATGCAATGAGCATAATAGATACATCTTGTGGGAGAAAACCCTGAATGACTGCCTAAAACTGGTCTCTTTTGTAGCATCATTTAAAAAACAGCCTTGAGCCATGTTAGGTGGCTCATGGTTGTAATCCCAGTGATTCAGGAGACTGAGACAGGAGAATCTCAAGTTCAAAGCAACTTAGTGTGAGACCCTATTTCAAAATAGAAAATAAAAAGGGATGGGCATGTACCTCTGTGGTAAAGTGCTTGCCTAGCTTTCCTAGGGCCCTGGATTTAATCCCCAGTACTGCAACAACAACAAAACAACATTATCAATATCCTGTCAGATGAATTGTCCTCTGATTAGTAAAGACTAATAAGTAAATCAGAGAGACTGATTCTACCACATGAGACAAGCAACATGATCTCCCAAGTAAGAAAATACTCATCATATTGGGGAAAAAAAAAAATGAGGGTTGGGGCAGTGGGGATAGAATCCAGGAGTAATTAACCCAGCCCTTTTTTTTTTTGGAGAGAGAGAGAGAGGGAATTTTTTAATATTTATTTTTTAGTTCTCAGCGGACATAACATCTTTGTTTGTATGTGGTGCTGAGGATCGAACCCGGGCCGCTTGCATGCCAGGCAAGAGCGCTACCACTTGAGCCACATCCCCAGCCCCATAACCCAGCCCTTTTTGTTTTTTATTTTGAAACAGTATCTCACTAAGTTGCTGAGGCTGGCCATTTTATGTTTTTGCCATTCTCCTGCCTCAGCCTGCGGAGTCCCTAGGATTACAGGTGTGTACCACCTGGCACATGGCTTACATATGGAAATATTCACCAATGGAAGAATGAAAATATTGCACAGGCACCTCTTGGAAAGTTATGTAGGTCTCATTTCTTAGCAATTACCATAGCTAACAGCAGAAAAAAAAAATGTGTTTACATATATATGGGAGTCTGTGTTCTCAAAATACTATGATACAGGGCTGGGGCTGGGGCTCAGTGGTAGAGTGCTTGCCTAGCACGTGTGAGGCACTGGGTTCAAGCCTCAGCACCACATAAAAATTTAAAAAATAAAATTATTATGTCCATCTCCAACAAAAAATATTTTTTTAAAAATTATGTTACAAAAGACAAGAGAAAAATTGCTTAGGAACACCAAACCTAACATGCAACATCAGAAAATTTAGCCTAGTTTCCAGAAATGGATAAATCTGATTCATCAGCTACTCAGAAGGCTGAGACAGGAGGATCACAAGTTCAAGGCCAGCCTGAACCACTTGGTGAGACCCTGTCTCAAAAAATAAAAAGGTCTGGAGTATAGATCAGTGGTAGAGTGCCCCTGGGTTCAATCTGCAGTACCACACACATACAAAAAAAAAATTTTTTTTAAATATTTATCTGTTAGAAGCATTTGTTCCCTTTGATGAGAAGCATTTAAAATATTTTTATATTAAAACAAAAATATCTACAATGGAGCAGCATGAAAAATAAGTGACTTTTTTAGTCAATTAACAAGATTTTTTAAAAATTTGGAGGGCTGGAGTGGCTCAGTGGCAAAGCACTTGCCTCACACATGTGAGGCACTGGGTTGGATCCTCATTGCTATATAAAAATAAACAAAATAAAGATATTATGTCCATCTATAACTAAAAAAATTTTTTTTAAATAATGTTTATATTTGGAGAGCTTTAAGCTAGTCATCATACTCTGCCATAGAAGAACTTTGTATGGATAAGTTTTTGAGAAAATGGTTAAAATCTGAGATAAGATTGATCTAAGAGAGCTGGGGTTGTGGCTCAGTAGGAGAGCATTTGCCAAGCACTTGTGAGGCACTGAGTTCAATCCTCAGCACCACATAAAAATAAATAAAAGCATTGTGTCCATCTATAATTTTAAAATTTTTTAATTGATTTAAGACACTGATACAAGAGAAGTTAAAGGAATTAAAACATAAGTCATTCCCTTTTATGTCACTGTTAACCTGTATATGTTACTAAGTTCCCATCTCTTCCATATAGCCTTCAAGCTTACATGGGCTCAGAGAAGGCTGTTGCTTATTCTGAAGAGTCCCTTACTGCAAAATAGTAGCTTGGTTCCAAAAGGGATCCAAAGTCTGATTTCTAGCACAATTTATTTACTTGCTGTGGCATCACTTATTGACTCTGTACCAAAAGCACTGTCAGTCTATCCATACTTTATTGAGTGGTGGCAACTGGTTAGGGAGATTGTGGGGTAATTGCCCAGTTAAAAGGGCTCTCTCCTCGCCCTGCCACTTTTTCCAGCAGGGTGAGTATTTCATTTCCCACCACCTGTATCACATTTCCCCAGTTGCCAGGCCCTGGTATGAGGTCCACATGTTCTTTCCACATAAGTCATCAGGTAAAGCCATGACTTTCTCCATACTGAATGCCCCTTTGACTGATTTGTACTCAGGTACACTAGACCGCACTTTGGAGCTGCACTTTGGTCAGCCCTGGTTGTTGTGGACTGCCTAACGGGCTGAGTGGTGAAGAGCTGTCTCAGCTGAATGTGTCCTTCCTTTTCCCCACAGACATAACCAGTGCAGTGCAATCGAAGCGAAGAAAATCCAAGTAAAACAAGCTGGACGGTGACTTGATACTTGTAAATGTGTGTGAATTTTACAAAGAGCAATTTTGAGCTGTGACTTTTTTAAATCTATTTCTGTACAGTTAGTCATTTTAATAATGTGGCCCTTTTCCTAGTCCCTGCAACCTGTTTTTGTAAAGTGCAATGGGGAAAAAGCAGGGTTGTTGAGCCCTTTTGGTGTTGCAAGATGAAGTTCAAGATTTTTAAAATGTTGCCATGTATTGAGAGGAGCTAATGCCATTATAAATGTTATTAGTTTTCACATTTCCTAAGCAGCCTAGAGTACAGGGTGAGCATTTTTAGGTCCTCTAATGATGTATTGTGCTGTGGAAGTACTGTGTGTGAATAGCCGTAGCAGGGGCAAAAGCAATCTTGTCATTTGGAAATGTTGTAAATAATTTTATTATATAGTGTTTTGGATGTATTTGTTGTAGAAATGGACCAGTGAATAAAGAGAATCTAAGGGTTTGTACAATGTGAAATATTGAATGTGCTAAATAAATGTCATTGTCATAGAACATAAAGGTAAAGGGATCATTGGGAGAGCAAGCTTTCCTTGGATCATAAATGAGTAGACATAGCCTTCTTTGTGAATTAAAATTAAAACATCCACATGAAATGCCCACCTGGCAAGTTTAGGAAATGCATATGCTTGCTCACTCAATTCCTTGGCTTTAAAGAAACCAGCCCTGTTCAGCCCTATACCAGGTACTTTGATATATATTGGTCAAATTTCTTTGTGTTGTAAAATAACAATCAGCTTAGGATCAAAGGCCACCCAAAATTTTCTAGAGATAGGAAACTTAGCAATTCAAATGGCACTTTCTCTCCACCTCATATATCTGCTTCTCCTCCATGCGTGTGACAGATTGCCCCAAACAACTATGTTCACATCTCCTCCATTCGGAGGGTAAGCCTAGTCTGATCACCAACATTCTTTGTACCAGCATCAAGAATTTATCCCACTAGGGGCTGGGGTTGTGGCTCAGTGGTAGAGCACCTATTTAGCACCTGTGAGGCACTGAGTTTGATCCTCAGCACCACATAAAAATAAATAAATAAAACAAAGGTATTGTGTCCATCTACAACTAAAAAAAAAAAAAAAATTTTAAGGAAATTATCCCACTTTAGGTCAGGTTTCCACCTTTAGTCCAATTCTGTAGTTACTTGAGCAACTCCTAAGTTAAAGGGGTCATTTTCTGTTGTATATTTTATTAGAGATGTCTACCACACCCCACTCTTTAGTTACCCTATATCTTATCTGTATGAAGCCTAAGAATGACTTGTCATCAACATACCCAATTTTTCCCTTTTTGACTGAATTCTTTAAAATTTGCATATTCTCTAAAGCCATCTGCTTTTGCTCCAGCCCTCCTCCCAGCCTTCAGGGAACTCCAGGACTTGGGGCCCTGTCCATGTCTCGTGTGGCCTTCAGCCTTTTTGCTTTTTCCTCCTAGGAACAGACTTTCCCTCCAGTGGCTCCTGGCCCTTGCCATAATTGAGTGCCCAAGACCAAAAGAGTCGGTGACTCTACTCTGTCTTGCACTTATTTTCATCTCTGTTTCAACTCTTAATATATGTGTGTCTTTTATTATAGGGATCCTCTAAAATAGTTTTTATGAGTCAGACCCCACATTATGTGCCTCCATTCCCAGCAAGTTTATCCACCCTTTTCATCTCCTATATAACACACACACAGCCAGCTTAATAATAATACCCTATGCCTCAGCTGTGCTTGAGAATAGAGAGTGCTTCTCATTCTTTAGCTCAACTCAGGCAGAAAGCATAATGTGCTTTAAATAAATTTTTTTATTTGTTTTTCTTTATATTATTTTTTTTCTCCCTTAGAGGAATAGCATTACAGTCTAACAGAATCCTGTTACACACATACACAGGCATGCCACATGACCAGGTCGAGGTGGTTGTGTCCTTGAGTCTGTCGACACATCACAACACAGTCAACCAAAGTCTCCTTGTTTCAGCCAGTCTCAACACAAAACACCCAACAGGGATGTACTTAATATGTTGGTTCCATCTGGGATTAGGTGGCAGGGTAAAAGGGAAGATATTAAAAGTGGGTTATGGTGTGTCTGCATTCACTCTCTTCACACAAAGCTGCATGGATCTGGAGAGGCATCCAAGAACTTTGTGGGGTGCTTGTTACACCTAAGACATTATGGGTCACAGCAGATTCATCACAGGGTTCCACTCAAGGGGCTGAGGGGCAGGCATACTCCAAAACAGCACCAAACTGCACTCATACACACATGGTGCCCTGCTGGGGCTAGACTGACAAAGGTTAAAAATTGACACCCAGCTCAAGGGAACCACTCAAGACTTATCGGGAAAAACTGGAAGTCACCCTTTGATGTAATTGGGACTCACTCTAGAAATGGGTCCCTCTGACATCCTTAGTTTTGGCAAAGTGCTGGTAATATCAACATTAATACTTACAAACTGGTACAAACTTCTCCAGGATCAATGAAAACATCAGTCAAGACAGACTCTCTACCCACTCTCCTATCTAAGGTTGCATAGGACTTTGTGAATTCTGGTTCCCTCATGTGTTCAAGTTCTGTAGTTTAAGAAAAAAAATCCTGAAGCATGCTCAAGGTGAAAGGCACATACACAGTCAATACAGTATGACAAGGTCTGATGCTTCAGGAGTCAGACTAGTAGGAGACTGAGTAGTGTTGGTTCTTAGAAATCTATACATGATTAAAATATTGCCACACTCAAATGCTACAGAATCTATAGGAAAGTACAAACAAAAATTTATAATGAGCCTTGCAACCAGCTAGGTGATAGATTGGATGGTTCTAGAACTACAGGAGCCTCCATAAATATAGGTAAAGGGCAGGGCCTTTTGAAATTTAGGCCTAATGTTCTATCACTCAAACTCTTCCCCCACCAGCAAGATCATGGGCGCTGCCCAGAACTGAGCCTTGGCCCCAGCTGGTGTCATGTAGGCAAGAAGGTTGGAGGGATTCAGCTCTTGAAGTGCTGAAGACCCTAAGCTGGCTGTGAAGTGACCAAGGGATAAACTGGAAGAATAAAAGTCGATAGGTTGTAACTGAAGAACTTTGGGAAAGGAGCAAGGTTGTCAAATGTGAGAGCCCTAGTGGGCTGGCATAGGGACTTTGATCTGCTTGTAGTGTCTGTTATACCTTGGGATAGGAGACCCCAACAGGGCTTCCTCTATCCCCATCCCAGCATCCACGGGGATACTCCCTTCCAACTCTACATGTGCCATGGGAGGTCTGGGGCTGTAGGGTCAGGGAGAGCAGCTGCCTTTGCCCTCATGGGAATGCAGAGTTTTCTCCAACCCCAGCTTGGCTGTGAGGCCTGGAAACCTGAAATTGGGGTGAAGGGGAAGACCTATGTTAGTATGTAACAGGAAATCTTAAAAGTTTCAAGGAAAAAAGAGCACACACTAGAAAAAGACAGCTAGAAAGAGAATGGGAAGCAACTCAGGGCATCCCAAGAGGCTGTTGCTGGTGTCTGAGCCCAAAATTCAATCCCACCACAAGAAAGGGAAAGCTGGCTGCCCCTGTCCCCTGTGTCTCACTCAGGGATTCAGGTTCTTTCCTCCAGGTAGTACTGGAGAAGAAGGGGAGGGGGACCGTAGGGCACCCATTTCTCCCCAGCAGCCTAGAAAGGAAGAGCCCTGTGGGAAAGAAAGAGGCCCCTGAAGGCCCTGAACCTGGATAGGGAATTTTGGGGAATTGGACAGTGGGCTGCTGACCTCCAACCCAGGAGTGTTTATTAGCCATAGTGAGCAGGGTGTGAAATACAAGGCCAGAGGCAAGATGAAAGGCTGAGCTGGCTTCACCCCAAGGCTTGTCCTCTTTAGCATTCTTACTTTGGGGTGTGTGTGCCCTTTCCCTGCCTAGAACCCCTCTGGCCTGTGTCTCTCCTAAGCTAGTTCTAGCACCTTGGGCATGTGAATAGTTGACCAGGATGGCAGGCCTTGCCCAGCTTCTACTCCTGGGGGAGCATATCAAGGTAGGGTGGCAAGGTACTAAGCCCCTCAGACTCAGGGGCCTGCAGAGGGTAGATTTCAGAAAAAGATTTGGAAGTGAGATTATAGGAAAGAGAAAGTGGGGGCAGACTCCAAGCTACAGCAAGAGAGCAGGGCATGGCCTCTCTGAGCAAGCACAGTGCCAGCTCCCATGGTACCCTGCTCCCTATAACTTCTCAACTTGTCTGTCCTCTGTACTTCTCCAATAGGCTGTTTCTTTCCCTTGATTCCCTCCACCTCCTCCCTCTAACTCACACCTCACTGTCCTCTTTCACATACATTACCTTTCCAGGTCTAAACAGCTTCAAGGAGCCCAGCCCTCCACTCCCTCCTTCCCCAGGCAGAGAGAAGGGAGAAACTAAAAGCAAAACCCTGAGCCTGACCCCTTACTGGAGGGAAAGAATAGTGGCCCAGGCCCCACCAGTTGTACCTGGTCAGAGTTGGGCTCAGAGTTCCCTCCCTTTATCCATATTGTGAGGGAATGAATAATAAGGGAGCCAGGAGTAAGTGTAATGCCAAACATGAAAGGGTGAGTAGTGTAAGGTGCAAGTTGAAGATGGGGAATGAGCCAGATCAGGGTGGAAGAGTCTCTCAGAAATAGGGGGTGGGCCAAGAGGGCAAAAGTGAAAGGGAGGGACAGGGATGGAGGGCCAGAGAATTCCGAAGCATGAAAGGTCCAGAGTGGGGAGGATGGAGGATAAGATGCTGGGGAGGGTGAAAGGGGCTAAAAGGATTCAGAAGTGGATTAGAGGATCAGAGATGGGGAAGGAAGGGCCATCACCCCACCTCACATACTCTAAAGAGGAAGGGAGTTGTGGTGCAGCCTGAAGCGGCGCCCTCCGCCCCTCCAGCAACATACAGGCTGCCACGGAGGGGACTGACGGGGATCCGGGAACCGCGAGGGATTAGTGGCGCAGCTGGCGGACACTCAGTAGTTGAACTGGCGCTGGCAAGGCTGGTAGATGAAGCTACCCTGGTGCTTAGGCCGGCGCGGACGGCTCTCACGGGCGCGGTTCTGCCGTTGCACCGCCTTGGCGCTCAGCGCATGGCGCTCAGCCCGCTGCCGGGCCCGCTGCAGTCGTCGTACCTGGCCAGCCTTCTCCAGCAGCACCGCCCGCGCGGGCAGAGGAGCCGCGGCGTGGTGCAGGACCCGGGGCTCGAGGCGGGCGGTTGCCAACTCCCTGCAGGGACAAAGCGGGTCTCGGTCAGAGTGGCACATGGAGGGGTTGGGGGACTGGCATCTCGCTCCGCTGTCCCCAGTTCCCTTTTCTTGGCGCACTGTGGTGTCTGCCCCAATCTGTATTGCCCCCAGCAGCCCCACCCCCTCGGCCCCAAGGCCTCCCTCCTCAAGGATTCAAACCCGGCCCAAGCCTCTCAACCCAGCCCAAGAATCTCAGCCACGTCGCTCCTAAGCTCCGCCTGGCCACGAAGCCACACCTCCCATCTGAAAGCCCAGCCCATAGGCCCCGCCCCTTGTCTCCATACACGCCTCACTTCCGAAGGCTCCTACAAGACTCCTAGGCTCCAGGCCCCGCCTTCTGCTCACTCACCCTTCTCCGAGGTCGCCATCCGGCAGGGCAGCGTCTGGGTGCGGGGAAGGGGGCCCAGGCTCCAGCACTATGGTGCTGCCGGTGACGTAAACGGACATACTGGGGTGCTCGATGAGGAGGTCCTCCAGGGGGCTGCTCTGGAGGCGGGTGGGTCCGAGGCCGGGCCCCTCTGCAGTAAAACAGGCGGGAGGGGTAACAAACCAGCTCTCGTCCATCAAGGAGGGCGCGGGCGGAGGGCGACCCGCGGGGGCAGAGGCGGCCCCAGGGCTGGGGGAAGACTCGTAGCTGTCTACGGGGCGCAGGAGAGGGAGCCATGCGGAGGAGGGAAAACGGCGGGGAGAAGGGACACACACACACACACACACACATACCGGACACAAGGGGCGGGGAGAGAAAGGGCAACGTTAGTCAGATCCGCAGCCCTGCCCGCCATGCCCACGGAACACCCTCAGACCAGGAGGCTCGCCCTGCTACCCTGATGTGTGGCCCCAACACTGAGCCGCCTGGAGACAGCTCAGGCTTGCAGGGTAAGGGACCATGTTACCCCACCTCCAAGGCCACTGCCTCAGCTCGTTTGACCAGTAGGTTTGGGGGAACTCTCAAATCCCCAAACAACTCCTTTCCCCTCCACTGCTGTCCTGTCGGCCCTTTCCAATGACTTCACAGGCTCAGGAGTTTGAGTTGTGGCCCCCGACTCAAGTCTCACCCGGCAGGTCAATGATAAGCCAGCCATCCACTTCATCTTCCTGCGAGACAAAGGCGTGGGGACAGTCGGAGTCTTCTGGGGGGGAGGGAGTACTGAAGAAGAGGCTGGTGAGGCGCTGGAACATTGTAGGGCAGTGAAGCGGCCTCAAGGAGGCGCCCTATGGCAGTGCAAAACCTGGGGTTCATAAAGAGAAGTCAGTCACTGACTGAAATCCACCACCTGGTATCACCCCTATTCCCCAGAGCAGAGATAAGAGTACAGGTGAGATGTGTGGGGAAGCTTTTGAGGTGTGAGCTTTCTGCATTCAAGTCCAGGCTTTTCTGAAAGTCTTCTGTTAGGAATTTAGGATATTTATTTGTGCCTTATTCTGATTTATCAAATAACAATGATATCCCTTTTTTCTTAGCCTTTATAAAAATTAAATGAACTGGGCTGAGGTGTAGCTCAGTGGCAGAAATAAGCTTAATATGCTTGAAGTCCTAGGTTCAGTCTCCACCAAAAAAAAAAAAAAAAAAAAAAGAACATCATTGTACCCTCCTCTGGACTTTAATGAGAATTAAATAAGCTAAATGCAGCATAATGGCCCACACCTGTATCCAGCAATTTGAGAAGATAAGGCAGGAAGATTGCAAGTTCTAGGTCAGCCTCAGCAACTTAGCAAGATCCTGTCTCAAAACAAAAAAATAAAAACGCTGGAGATGAGGGCTGGGCTTGTAGCTCAATGGTAGAGTGCTAGCATGTGAGGCACCGGGGTCAATCCTCAGCACCACATAAAAATAAACAAAATAAAGGTATTGTGTCCATCTACAACTGAAAAAAAAAAGTTTTTTTTTTAAAGGCTGACGATGTAGCTTATTGGTTCTGGTTCAGTCCCCAATAACCCCACACACACATACACACATACAAAGAGCTAAACATTTATAAAGTACTTAAAACAATTCTGGGCACATAGTAAGCACTCAATAAAGTAACAAACTCATCGTTATCACAAGGTGCTTTAGGGATATGGAGTGATATGATATGTATTACAGGCTCTGTCAGGGAAATTCTCCAGAGGATCACACATCCAATCTGGTCCTTGAAGAGTAAACAGAAATTCTCCAGGCATGGAACAAATTCCCCATATTGTGATTGTTTATTATCATCATAATTATATAACATTCATGTACCAGGCACAATACTAAACAGCTTCATCTATATTACCTCTTGCAATCCTTATACCAAAATGTGGAAAGTGGGCATAATTACTCTTATTTTACATGTAAAGAAAATAGAAGTAAGGTGAGGCTTAGAGAAGTAACTCAACTTGCCCAAAGTATTATAGCTAGTAAAAGGTGGGATTTGAATCCGTGCAGTACCCATGATCATTAGAGCCCACTGCCTTTGCTGGGTGTCTTTCTGGATTAAGTATTTTTAACTTGGTGACTGGGGTCATGGTCTCTGGGTATTTTTCTGAGGAAAAAAAAAAGGGGGGGTCTTGGTTTTCATCATTTCCTCAACAGCATCTTTGATCCTAGAGACTAAGGAGACTGTGTAATTTGAAAAGTTCTAGCTAGCAGAAATGCCACAGAACTGCTACTATCTTGCCATGTTATTGGGCAAGCCTCAGATGTGTCTGTCAGATGAGGTGTGAAGATTCTATGCCCACAGGCCCTACCCACTCTAACCTCCTTTTCCCAGGCTCCTGCTCAAGGGCAGCATCCTTGACTAGGAGGAAGATCAGGTTGCTTGCTCCAATGAGGCAGCAGGTTTGTAGAAGGTGATGACAGAGGGTGGGACCTATCAAATCCCAGGACCCCTTAGGATGAACACTGAAAGTTGGACCAGGACCCAAGCTCTTAGCCTGGGTGAAGATGTGAAAGAAATCCCCTCTTGCAGAAATAGAGACAACAAAGTAGTGACTATAGATCTGCTCTTGGCTCATTTTACAATCTGGGGTTCAGAGGGAGACTATAAATGCATCCAAAACACACAGCTAGATAGTGGTGGAGCATTCAGTCCAAAGTCAGGAAGTCTCAACAGATAATCTCCAAGAATATAAAGATGCATAGGAGGCAGGGAGGTCAGACAGGGACCTTGATCCAGTCACTGCCCCTCTGTCCAGCCACAGAAAGACCGGAGTTCCCGGCATCAGGATTCAGCATGCCTTTACCAGAGCATTCACTATGTACCAGAACCTGCAGCAGACCTCCTCAGTTACAGATTGAGGTAAGAGAGGCTCAGAGGTCACAAAGTGTGACAAGCAGCACTAGACAGCCAGTGCCCGCCCCCTCTCTTGATCACCGGGGGAGCCTCTTGAATTTCTTTCCCAGCCCTGCCAACTTCCTGGTTCTCAAATTCCCAGCTCTGCTCCAGGAAGAGCATTCCCTTTAATAACTACAGCAGCTGTGCCCAGAATAGCATTCGAGACCTAAGCCACCTCTAGTCCAGCCCATCCCTGAGCAAACTCCAGCCTGGGATGGGGCTCCAGGTCCAGCCTCTAGACCCATGCACTTGGAAAGTCCAGAATCTCTCATCCCCTTTCCCCTACCCTTATCTGAGCAAGGAGAGGGGGCAGTACAACCCTCTATAATCACTAGTACTAGGCCAGGTCACATACCCTCCTAGCTGACAAGCCAGAGTTGGGGAGGTGGTGAGCAATCATAGAGGGAACTCTCATCTCACCATCTATCTTAACCAAATCAGCCCTGGAGATACCATGAGGCAGTTGATAGCTCACTTTTCTGTGATCAAAAGTTGGCAGAGATTTTATTGGATTGGAAGGAAGAGAGCAGAGGGGTCAGGGCAACCAAAGGGGACCTAGATCCCCAAAGATCTCCTAGAATAAGGGCAAAGAATGAAGAGATCTAATTGGGATGGTGCTGAGTCCAAGACACGGTCCTCAGGGGAGAAGGATGTGTAACTTTTATTGAACTCCTAACTCTGTACATGCCTGGCACTAATGCCATTCATCTGTCACTCAATTAACATGACTAGTTAGTTGACTGTGTCCTCGAGTAAGCTACCTCCCTTCTCTGGGTCTCAGTGCTTCCTTCTCTGAAATGGGGTCTAAGACACCTCATGTGGAGGCTAGGAATGACATCAACTAAGGCGCTGCACACATGTCAGGGATTAGGAGGATGTTATTGTGTTAGTCCCCGGGGGGCGGAGCCTGTAGCAAGAGAGGGGATTCCTCCACCATCTGGTGCTACTCCAAAAGACCTGGAATAGGAAGGCCTCCTTGATCTCCAGACCTGGACATGGTTGTGTCGTCAGACCCTCAAGTCGCAAGGAGAAAGGGTATCAGAGCCTTGACCCCAACCCCGAGATTAGCCCAGGAAACCGCAGAGCCCTCTAGGGCCCCGCTAGCCTTTCAGCGTCTCTCACCCTTGGTCCCGCCCAACACGGCTCCCACCGGGTCACGGGAGGACAAGCGACCCGAGCCTGGGGGGCGGTGCTGGCCTTGGTGACGTCTCAATGTCATATGCAAATAGTGCGACGTCAAGGTCTACCGGCGCGCGGCAACCAATAGGAAGCCCGGAACGCAGCCCCAGCGGCCGGCCGCGGAGATAGACAAAGGCCCCGGCACAGGGGGCGCAGGGCGTGTCCCCGGGCTCAGGGAGCTCCGGGGCCCAAGCTGGCGGGGACTCACCTGGGACCCGGAGCGACGCGGTAGGCGGGGTGATGCTGAGGTAGTTGTACAGCGGGGCGTCCCAGGGTAGCAGGCTGTTCACAGACCCGGCCGCATCGCGGGGACTGGATGGGGAGGCGCGGGGATAGCGGTGGGGTGCTCGGAGCTGCTGCACTCACCCGCGGGGCTTTGAGTCTGTGCAGCCGCTGCGGCGGGGCTCACGGCACAAATTGGAACGTCCAAACAGCTGATTGTGACATCACAAAGGGGCCCGCCCGCCGCGCGTCACTGGCCGCCGAAGAGGTATCCAATCCCAGGCTGCGGATTCCCCACTCCCCGCCCCTCCACGGTTTGTTGGCTAGTGACTCCAGTTCAGAAGCCGCACTTAGAGCCTCCGGGTGCCGCCTGGAGAGGCGAATGCCAGAGGGTTAAATCTCTACTCCCTGCCACTTGCAGACCTCTCAATGAAGGCGATCCCCATTCCTTCCTGGGGAATCCTCCTCTCCCGGCTTTCTCCCAGCGCACTTACCCCTCCCACTGCTCCTGTATCCTTTCTCCTGCATACTATGCCCAATTTCCCTGATCTGTGTGTATCTCGTTCCGGACACCTTGTCTGTTTTCCCACCCCATTTTTCCTCAGCTCTCTCCCAGGTTAAGGGGGGGGGGGGCACCAGCAAGTGAGGGGAAGTTGGTGAAGCTGACGTGAACTTGTGCAAAGAGTCGGACTTGGAGAGGAATTGCTCTGGGCTGAATAAACATTGAGCTAGTACCGCTCTGTCCTGGAAAGTTTACACGCCCAGTTGAATCCACGGTTGCTACCGGAACTGGACACAAGAGTGACAGGGACAGGGATTATAAATCCCGATTTAGGTATGGAGAAATTGAGGCTCACAAATATCATTGTTAGTGTATGAATTCATATCCACTAATGCACTAAACACACACATTTAAAAAAAATAGGCACTATTGCCACTGCCAGACAAATAGTTGATATTTATAGAGCACTTAATTGTGTGCCAGTCACTGTGGTATCGTTTTTTGATCTTCACAACACCAAATATATTATTTTAGTTAAGGAGTCAGACCCAGGGCTGGGGATGTGGCTTAAGCGGTAGCGCGCTCGCCTGGCATGCGCGGGGCGCTGCGTTCCATCCTCAGCACCACATAAAAATAAAGATGTTGTGTCCACCGAAAACTAAAAAATAAATATTAAAAAAAGAAATTCATTCTCTCTCCTCGCTCCTCTCTCTCTCTCTCTCTCTCTCTCTCTCTCTCTCTCTCTCTCTCTCTCTCTCTCTCTCTCTCTCTCTCAAAAAAAAAAAAAAGACAGACCCAGAGAGCCCAAGTAACTTCCTGAGGCAGTTAAGCTAAGGTCAATGGCAGAGCCAGGAGTTAATCCTTTAGCTTCTAGCCCTGATGCTCTCCACTCTTCATCTGCACCTCAGGGTGCTTCAGCCTCCCAAGGGAAACCTGGCTTCAGTCCTGTCTATGCCCCAAACTTGCTGTGTAACCTAAAACAAGTCATGTTACCTCTTGGACCTCAATTGCTTTATCTGTCATACTTAACATATTCAAATTTTCTGAGCTGACATTGTAAAATTCTCTCTAATTCTCTACCCTCAGGATTCTGCCAATCTCAAACTCTAGGCCCCAGTTCTCCCAATATCCTGTAGGTAGAGACCACAAATACATATTCTCAGAATCTCCAGAGCCAAAGGTTCTGTCTTCTCTCAGTAGAGAGCAGAACTGGTGCGTGAGACTGGGAAATACTCACCTGGCCAGTAGGAGCTAGTCCAGGGGTTCATGTTCTGCTAATAAAACCCTGACTCAACCTAATATGCAACCCCCAAGTGAGGACTCAGCCCTAGTAACTCAGAGGATCCAGGATATAATACCAGGAGACTTTCGGTGGGGGAGGAAGTAGCATCCTATTTTTTAGAATGATGTCCCTAAAGTGTCCACATTCCTGCAGTGCTGAACCTCTACCTGTCACACCCACTTCCTGCTAACTTTATACCCTACGTTGACCTCTTTGCTGGCAAACTAAATAATCCCTAACACACCTGTTCTTTCATATCACACTTGTTTAATCTATATAGAACCTTATGTGGTTCATAAGCCCCACACTCCTAATACAGCCTTCATGGCCCTCTATGACCCAGACCTAGTTCTCTCCTGCTTCATTCCCCCCTTATTCTCATCCATGTACTTTGTGCTGAGGTTAAACTCCTCATTGTCTCTTTAGCATTCTCACCTCCTGGCATGCCTTTCTGAAATCCATATCTGTCTTGTCTTCCAGATTCTACTCATTCCTTTTTCTAGGTAGTCTTCCTTGATCTACTCATGTGTCAATGGCCACCTTGATGCACAGGCATTTGTTTATTCAGTAAAAACAGTAAGTAACCAGGAGTGCTGACATACTATAGACCCAGCAGAGGCAGAAGAATTGTTTGAGCCCAAGAGTTTCGGGCCAACCTGGGCAGCATACCAAGACCCTGTCCCTTAATTTGTAAGGCTCAGTGTTGCAGACTGAAGCTCATGAAGGATGGTTGGCATAGGATTCTATACATGGACCCTCTATGCTGTTACAGGCAGAGTTCGGTTCAGCACCAGGTTCCTGTTCCACAAGCCCAGAGAAGAGGGCTCTTGTCATACACTCTGGTGCCCTAAATGTGAATCTGCAATATGTATACGGGGTAAAAATGGGAGTTCATTATCTGCTTGAATCAAATGTATGAAATATGATATGTCAAGAGCTTTGTAATGTTTTGAACAACTAATAATAAAATAAAAAAATAATAATAAGATGAGAATATGGAAGAAAAATAAATAAATAAAAATTTAATAAAAGATAAATATGCAAGTGATGATACCTGAATGTGTATGTGTCTTCCTGAGGGGATGATGGGATCCCAAGGGCAGAATCATTTTCCGTTCACTTCCCCACTCAGTCTGCGATGGGTCTGGCACAGAGTGGACTTGAATTCAAGGCTCAGTGTTGCAGACTGAAGCTCATGAAGGATGGTTGGCATAGGATTCTATACCTGGACCCTCTATGCTGTTACAGGCAGCGTTCGGTTCAGCACCAGGTTCCTGTTCCACAAGCCCAGAGAAGAGGGCTCTTGGCATACACTCTGGTGCCCTAAATGACCTGGATTCTATTTCCAGTATTAAATGAACCCCATGTACAGTCAGCTAGGCAGATTCCAGTCTTTCATTTCTCTGTAGAGTCAGGAGTATTCATGAAAAGTCGGGGGGCTGGAGCCCAGTGGATTTGCCTCTTAAAACCCTTGGCACCCATCCCTCCTCTCCACTGAAGAGATTATCAGAAAAAGAAAAAAGGAGAGAGGAGTCTCTTTCATCTCTTTCAGAGATGAAAGAGACTTCAGATCTCAACTTACCCAAACCCCTCATTTTATAGGTGGGGAAACTGAAGCCCAGAGAGAGAGGGAAAAAAAAAAACTTCTTAGAATCATATGGTAGCTGAGGACCCTAACTTGGGCCAGGGGCCATAAAAAGATGCAATGGAAATAAACAAGAAGAGAGAGAGAGAGAGAGAGAGAGAGAGAGAGAGAGAGAGAGAGAGAGAGAATAGGCATCACAATGAAAGTAATCCTGAAGTTTCATTTCCAATTGGATATGAGGTACCATTCCTGTGTACACACACGTGGCCATCCATGCATACACATGAAGGCCTCCATGTAGAAATAAACACCTATGTGCACATGAGCTCACACCCATGGGGATAAAAGTTGCCCACGCCCATCTAATCCATGCCCAGATGTGAGCACCTGCCCAATTTTATGAACTCCAGAATTGGAGGTCAAGAGGCCACCCTTCTATTCCTGTCTAGGCCATGGGCCTGCCCTCACCATGCCCTGGGGATTCCCTGTTGGCTTCCCCCACCTCACTTCAAAGGGCAGGAGATGTGTCAGCCTGGGTGTGATGCTCATGGGACCTTGTGTGTACTCACAGGTATGAACCAGTCTGTATGCTTGGCTGGAGAAACTGCTTGCCACTCCCCTCCCTCCTTGCCTTATCCACCTTTCCTTAAGACAGAGGGTGAGGTTGAGAGGAAGCCTTCAGATGTAGATCATACATTCCTCCCATGTTACTGGTGAATAAACTGAAAATTTTTTAGATAGATTTTTTTTTTAAAGACAAGTCTCATATTACCCTGGCTGGCCCCAAACTCCTGGGCTCAGTAATCTGTTTCAGAGTAGCCAGAACTATGGGTGCATACCTCCACCCATGCCTGGCAGGAGAGAAACTATTAATGTGTAAATTCAGCCAGGGCAGACATAGTCCCCACATTTCCTCCAACAAATGGCCAATACTTTAACAAGGGGCTATATCCCAAGAACTTTTACTCAAAAAGAGGTTTTTCTGGTCAGGACAGCATTCATTTTTCAGAGAGGGGAAGCGGGGGGGTGGGGGAAGTAGCTTAGTTTTATCCATCTATCCCTGGGGTATGAGGGTGGGGTGGTTTCTGGGACAGAGTGAGTGTGGACAAGCACCTACCGCTTGAGCCACATCCCCAGCCCCAAGACTTACTAATCTTACTCTAGTACATTTTGTTTTAGTGAAAATATTTTTGTGATATTCCTAATAAATAGAGTTGCAACTGGGAGAAAAATTTTTTTTTCTTTTTCTTTTGCCAAAGTCATATAGTTGAAATTGAGTAATTTGAATGTGTAGGATACCACTGACTCCAGGGTAGATATAAGCAAACTGGTACTTCTTCCAGGAAGCTCTCCAGAATCTCTCTGGGAGGAAGGAAGTGCCCTTTCTCCTTAGAGCTCCTAAAACCTATGGCCTGTCTCTTCCAGCACTGCACACTTTGAATTCACCACACACCCAGGAATGCTGAGTTCCTTTCTGGGAGACAGATGCTTTTTCTATATTTAAGATTCCCATTCAGTATAAATAGAAACATAAACAGAAACATTATAATTCAGGGAGATAAGAGCTAGGACAGTGGGTAGGACAAGGTGCTAAGAGAATCCAACAAAAGGGTATTCAAAGAAGACTCCCATGGAAGAGAAGATATCAGCCAGGCTTTGACGGTCAGAAGGAGCTTGCTTTGGGGCAAATGGGTTGAAAGTCCTGGAATAAAATTTCAAATCAGGAGCCCTACACCCTTGTTTGACTTGGCTCTGCTTCTAATTTGCTCCATGACCTTGAGGGACTTTGTCCCTCCCTGGGTCTCCATTTTTCTAGCTATACAATGGAGACATGATGAGAATTCCT